TCCCGGTGCTTAGTCAGTCACCGGAGGCCATTCAGCGTCTTTGACTGAAACCAATAAACCATGTTTATCTTACCCCTCGAAACGGTTGAATAATTCAGGCGCGATTTATTGCTTTTTAATAGATATATTGAATCGTTTCCGGGCACCTCTTATCTTCAGTCTCAGCCTGGTCGGTCGGTCGTGCGCATGTCACCTTTCGCTGCCTCGCCTTGCCTTCTGCTCTTTGGTTTTCATTTCTTTCGCCGTCGCTGACGCCTCCTCCTCTTCATTTCCATCTCTTTCGTAGAACGCGACGGAGAGGCTCCGAGATTGAGAATGAACAAGCTGCCACCTTGTCGGCGAAGGCTCGATAATCGATCGACATATAATGCCTGAATAAATACGATGAAGTCGAGGTTTGGCCGGCCGGCTGGTCGGCCGATGGACGGATCGTCGATGGACCGGACAGGCGATCAAGTTCTTTCTCATGCGAAAGACAGGCTTCTCACCGAGCAGGCATGACTGGGCGGCGTTTGTCATAAGACGATCGCCGCTAGGATTACCGTTCACCCGTGACGTTCGAGGCAGGGCTGCAAGAAACGCCCGCCGTCGGCGACCGACGAGGGTCATGCAGACCATCGAGTTCATTGACTGGACTCAACAGAGGAACACCGGACGCACGACTGGTGCAACCGCTCGAAACGAGGCGTCGCGCGCAAACGGCACATAATTTTTGTACCGAGCGTATAAATCAACGGCTGTCATGTATTTTAATAGAGCCGTACACTGATCCGACAGATATTGACCCACGTTAAGCCCCGAGTGCCCGAATATCATGACACGTGACAGCGTATCCATTTGCGTGTTAAAGTACGTTGGCTGTTTTGACAGATTTGTCATGCTTTGAGATCATCGTTTGCCACTAGATTCGTTATCTCGCAGGAGTTGGTATTCTCAGCCTTCGCCGTCCTCTTGTTTTTTTGACCGTCTAACTCGTATTTCGTCCCTGTCCAGCTTTTGTTGACTCATGGCATGGTCGAGGTACATTCACCGAATTCTCGGTGAGGAATTTGAGGGCGTACCGGTGCCAGGTACTTAGGACGTTCGGTCTAAATGCTAAAATAGGCGCATGTATTTTGGCGTTGAGTTCGAAGACGTTTCCGACTAGCTCAGTGTGGTCTCATATGTTTTCTTTTGTTCTTTGCTATTGCTGTTCAGGTACCTCCATTGGGCCGTGAACTGAACGACGACACGGGGACGAGAAGCACAGAGCGCGACGACGACAGCAGCGGCCGAGGAACAGAGATCTTCGCCGAACAAGGTTGTTGGACGACGAAGAACAGGAGACGGTGGCGGCAGA